CCTAAGGACTTTCAATGGACGGAGGAATGCCAGAAAGCCTTCACCGACCTAAAGGCATACCTGGCGAGCTGCCTGCTCTGACCGCCCGAGCAGGGAGAGACCCTGTTCCTATACTTGTCTGCCTGCAACGAGACCGTTAGCGCGGTTTTGGTGCGGGGGACCGGGGGGCTCAAAGGCCAATATACTACGTCAGCTGTGCTCTACAAGGGCCGGAAACGCGGTACACGCCGGCAGAAAAATTGGTCATTGCCTTGGTGCACGCCGTCGGAAGCTCCGACCTTACTTCCAGACCCACAGCGTTGTGGTCGTGACGGATCAACCCTTACGTCAGAACTCACCAAACCTGAGGTCTCAGGCAGAATGACCAAATGGGCCGTCGAACTGGCGCGAGCACGACATTGGCTATCAGTCTCGCACCGCTGTCAAAGCTCAGACCCTGGCAGACTTCCTCGCCGAGGGAGCCGGTCTGTCCGTGACTGAGCCAAGCTCTTTGCCCGAGGAGTCACGGCCGGAAGAGCCGTGGTCCTATTTGTGGACGGGCCTCCAGTAAGGAAGGGAGTGGAGCCGGCCTGCTGCTCACCTCGCCCACCGGGGAGGAGCTGACCTACCCCTAGATTTGACTTCCCGGCATCCAACAACGAGGCTGAGTACGAGGCCCTATTGACAGGATTGCGGATAGTCCACCAGATGGGTATAACCGCGATCAGGGTCCGGAGTGACTCTCAACTCGTAGTCTACAGGTCCGCGGGAGTACGAGGCCAATGAGGATGTCATGAAAAAATATTTGGCTAAGGTGCGAGAGGCGATAACCCTGTTTGGCATTTTTGAGATCGAGCGGTGCCGAGGTCTCAGAACAAGCGAGCGGACGCCCTGCCGAAATTGGTGTTCTCCTCGTTTGCCCACCTGATCAAGGAAGTCTTGGTAGAGGTAGTCAAGCAAAAAAGCATTGACCAGGTTCGGGTCTTGGCTATAGCCAGCCAGGCCTCTTGGATGACTCCCCTCGTGGACTTCCTTAGCTCGGTTGTCCTCCCCGGGGACAAAATCGAGGCTCGCCGACTCCAACTCAGAGCTGCTAAGTACGCCTACGCTGGGGACCCTCTACAGGAGGTCGTATTTGTCTCCCTGACTAAAGTGCGTAACTCTCGAGGAGGGCGACTATGTCCTCCGAGAGGTTCATGAAGGCGTATGCGTGGCACATGTGGGATCTCGGGTGTTGGCCAAAAAGTGCCTACTCCTAAGCTACTACTGGCCTCGGTGTTCCGAGATGCCGCGGCGTTGGTTCAGCAGTGCCGAGCTTGTCAGGTACATGCCCCGCTGCGTCACCAGCCGACCCAGGAGATGGTTCCCATCCATAGTTCCTGGCCCTTCGCCCAGTGGAGAATAGACCTCCTGGCGCCTTTCCCCCGAGTCCCTGGGAAGATACGGACACCTCGTGGTGGCCATCGATTACTTCACCAAGTGGATAGAAGCGGAGCCTCTGGCCACTATCTCCGGAAGAGCAGTTCAAAAGTTCTTCTGGAAGAACGTAGTTTTCCGTTTTGGGATCACGCATGTCTTGATATCCGAAAATAGGCGACAGTTTGCTGAAAATCCCTTCAGGAGCTGGTGCGCCGAGCTCGGAATTAGCCAACACTTCATGTCGGTCGGTCATCACCAGGCCAACGACCAGGTGGAAAATGTTAACCGAACCATTCTGCTGGGGCTGAAGACTAGGTTGGAACTAGCCCGGTCTAAATGGTTAGAGGAACTCCCTAGCGTCCTCTGGGCTTACCGCACTACGCAAGGACGGCCACTCATGAGACCCCGTTTTCTCTGACTTACGGGGTGTGAAGCTGTGGTGCCCGCAGAGATCGGCCTCCCCTCGCCTCGAACGCAGAACTTCGTTGCGACAGCCAACGAAGAAGAACTGCGGTATAACTTGGACATGCTGGAGGCCAAACGCGAGGACGCCGCGATACGAATGGCTAAGTATAAAATCCAGCTCGCCCGCTACCATAACGCGAAGGTGAGGAACACGCAGTACTAGCCGGGGGACCTCGTCTTGAGAAAGAACTCTGTCAGCCGAGCACATAGCTTCAACAAGCTTGACCCGAACTGGGAGGGGCCATACAAGGTCCTGGAGGCAAGCCGAGCTGGATACTGTAGGCTTGCGAGATTAGATGGGGCCCAATACCCCGCACTTGGCACTTCTCGAATTTGCGGTTGTTCGTAGGATAGATTGGTTCAGGGTATCTTACTGTCTATTCTTCGGAATCCACATACAAGTTCATCATTAAATAAATACTCGCCTCTGAATTTTCATTACTGTTTACCTTTTAAGTTTAAATCCTACACTAGCACACTTAGACAATGCTAAGTGTCCTAGTGGGGGTCCTGAGTGGTGATGAATGGTAATGGGTGGAATGCCTTTCAAGTCTGAGAGCTCGACGCTCGACCCAGGAGGTCGGCATGATTGTCTTTAAAATTTTGACGCTCGACCCAGGAGGTCGGCATGGATCGTCCTTTAAAATTTTGACGCTCGACCCAGGAGGTCGCCATGGATCGCCTTTAAAATTTTGACGCTCGACCCAGGAGGTCATGAATGGTAATGGGTGGAATTCCTTTCAAGTCTGAGAGCTCGACGCTCGACCCAGGAGGTCGGCATGGATCATCCTTTAAAATTTTGACGCTTGACCCAGGAGGTCGGCATGGATCGCCTATAAAATTTTGACGCTCGACCCAAGAGGTCGGCATGGCTGCCTTTAAAGTTTAGTGCTCGGCCCAGGAGGTCGGCACATCGGGGATTAGTCTGATGTGTTTGTTGATGCCTTAGTCTGTCGTCCTTAACAATTTGGTTGTTAGCTTAAAGTTTGATAGGTGCTCGACCCGAGAGGCTGGCACATCGTCTTGGGGGATCAGTCCGGTGTTCTACCCAGGTGGTCGGCAGGTCATTTCGATTATTAAGGTTCGTCGCAAGCAAAAATTGAAAGTCAAAATTAGGCAGTTTTCACTAAATGTTATTTCATATATATATTCAAAACCTATCTATTACATAGCCTACCAAGCTACAGGAAAAGGAAAGAATTTACAGCTCAGCCCCTTGAGACGCCTAAGCCACTGGCTCCTTCCCGGAAGCCCTGCCGGGGGCCTCGTCCTCCCCCAGGAGAACCTCTGCCAGCTCGGCTCCCACGTCGTTCCGGCCCACCAGGTCCTTCAGGCATGCCCTTGCAGTACCCATCGAAGAGCCAGTCTAGCTTCTCCTCGGCGGCGGGTTGTAATCCTTGAACGCGGCCAAGTCGAAGCGAGGCAGGTTGAGACCCTTCACCTGGTCCAGGGCCCGCGTGAAGCCGACCTGGAGGATGGGCTGGTTGAGGAGGACGTCCTCGGCAAACTGTTCGGAGGAGATGAACTCCCGAACAGTCTTCTTGCGCTCCCGGCTGACGGTGCCGGAGAGCTCGATGATGTGGTCCACCTTCCGCTTCTCCACGCCCGTCCTCTCCTGATCCAGCTCTGACCTTGTGGAGGCGAACTGGACTTGGGCCGCCTCCAGCTCCTTCTCGGTCTTGCCCAATTTGGCCTTAAGGGAGTCTGCCTCCTTAAGGGCCTGGGCAAGCCTCTGCTCGGTCTCTCGATTCTTCTTCTGCAACTTCTCCAGATCGGGAGACAGCTCGGAGAAGCGGGTCACGAGTGCAGCACCGGCGGCGTTGGCCTGAAGAAAGGAAAGGGAAATCAGCACATCACTAACTCCATCAAGGGAAAGAACAGGGACCCAAGTGACCTAAGCGGAAGAAGGCTTACTTGGACCTGGGCGGTATAGTACATGTCCTGGAGTTCGGACAGGCTGGCCAGCTCCATCCACCTCCTGTCGTGTGGAAGGACTGAACCCGCAACCAACTCGTGAGCCATTTCGGGGAATTGGGCTCGGTCATTGATGGAGAGCCCCTAGGACGGGCAGAAGTGATGGGGGTCGTGCATGGTGGGGGTCTGGCCCTGCTTCACGGGGTCACATGGCTGAAGTGCCACAAGTTCGGGGGAGGCGTCTCTCGGGCGTGCTCTTCCGCGGAGCCAACCCCCAGGTGCGTCGGACCTGCGTGGGGGTCGCTCCCCGACGAAAGCAGGAGTGGGGGCTGTACTGGAGCTAGCGCGAGCTTCTTCCCAGGCTGGGAGGGTTCATCCCTCGGCCCCTCTTCTGCCCGGTCGCCTTTTTCTTGCTAGCGGCCTGCTTGGAGGGGAACGAAGATTGTGACGCCTCCTTCTAAGGGGTCCAGCCGCCCCCTGGAGCCGGAGATGCCATAGAGGCCTTCTTGGTCACCTCTGGCTGCGGGGTGGGGACGGCCTGCGCGGAAGCCGTGCCCAATAGTTTGGAAAGCTTCCTCACTGCAGCGAACTCCACCAGGTTAGTAAAAGCAGGATCAGTAAAAGAAAGAAGAAAGCAACGGGCTGTAGGAGCACAGAGGTGGCATTACAGGTATCGTAGTTGGTGGGGGAGGGCTCCACTCCTTCGGGGGACCCGGACAAAGTCCCCATCAGCCCGGCCGCAGATATCTGATCGGTGGAGAACTTGGCCGCCTAGAGTTTCACCGAAGAGCTCACCAGCAGGCTGAGGGCCTCGGCGTCCAAGTCCCCCGGGTAGGGGTCGGAGACGACCTCCCCAACCTTCAACACGTTAGGAGGAAAGTGCGTGGATCTTACAAAGAAGAAGTCCCCCTTCCAGTTCTTGATGGAAGAAGGGACCCCGAAAATGAGGTCTTGGGTGCCTTTCCCACCCCGAACTTTGCTAGTAGTTCGGCGGGAGAAGTAGTACCACCCAGGAAGGGAGAGTTTGAGGGTATAGGAGGCTCGGAAGAGAGAAAGAGAATAGGGGATGGAGCAGATTTGACAGTAGATCAGGAACCCAATGATGATCCTGATCGAATTGGGATGGACCTGGGTGATTCTGAGCCCCCAGTAGCTCAGGATCTCAGCCAAGGCTGAAGGAATTGGGAGACGGAGCCCTGCGACCAACTGCTCCCTATAGATGGCTACGAAGCCGGAGGGAGATCGGCTAGCTCGGTCTTCGGGTCCGGCAGCCCTCGGCTCGAAGGCCGGTGGAATGGATAAAGACCTGACCAGCTCGGCGACCCTCTCGGGTGAGAGGGTGACCTCTTGCCGGTCAGGTTGACCGTAGTCAAGTTCAGGATCATCCCCTGCTCAGGGGCAGGGGTCCCCTCGGAGGAGTCCCTATCCTCGCTTGCCCCTCCCTGGGCTTTGCCCGGGGAGTCATGTGGGGACTTAGGGGAAGGAACGGAAGTGGCTTGCTGATCAATGAAAGCATCGAGCTCGGCCGCCTCTTCCAGGATACGAGCGGAAGGATAATGGGCAGATGGAGAGCTCACAATGACTATGGGCTCGAGCAGGTTAGGAATGTGAAAGTTGGGATTAGAAGCGGAAGAAGAGGAAAGAGGAGGAGGAGAAGATGAAGATGAGGATGAGGGTGAAGAGGGCGACGAAGAGGAAATAAGAATCCTAGGGGCTCTACGACGAGCAGGAACCCGAGAGGCTGTGGAAGTAACGCCGGATCGATCCGACATAAAATGCAAAGGGTGACAAGGGAAAAGGATAGCGAAGGAGGAAGGGAAAAACTTACTGGTGATTGGAGTGGGAAAGGATGAAGGAACCGCCGAAATATGGGCACTGTTGGTCGGAAGTCTTGCCGCGAGAACTTTTGGAAGTAAGAAAATGCGTGAAGAAAGGAAAATGGCAAAGAGATTGGAAGAAATCTGGCAACCCCTATTTATAGGGAGTGAAATGGGGGGGAAACGACTGCTTTAATTTGAACCATCCCCATGTGAACGCATTTAAGAGTGGTACGGAAACCGAAGGGATGCGACAGCTGAAAGGATGATAGCGCGACTTTTCAGTGACAGCACTGTGCCAGAGGTGACCACGGCAGGGCAGGGCAACGCCGGTCTCCCACGTGGCAGGAGCGTAGATTAGGTCTGTCTGGAAGCCCTACCTAATCAAGGGGTCCTGGGCCGAGACACGTGACAGCCCAGGAAGGCCAGTGCTGGGCTCGGACCTCATGCCCATGGCAACCATCCTGAGGCACCCCGCCGCTAGGGCTCCGAAGAGTTCCAGAGAACGATCCCGCAGAGGGCGGGAAGGATCCCCCTTAGCGGGGATTGAGGTTATTCCGGGCAGGTCCCGAAACGTACGGAGGTCGGGCTTATCCGCAGGTATAAATGGTAACGCACATCCACTGCACAAGGTACGCCCACTATTGGCAAAACATTCCCAACTGTTTTACTCTCAGTAAGTTCCCCTCGCCGGAAAACTAACTTGACCATCGGAGTGCCCTCGGGACCACCTCGGGGCTCCCCTGTCAGTCACCCAAGGGATCACTTCTTGTTTGTTTTGCAGTGCAGGAATACGTGCTTCTCGTCAGCACGCCGAGCTCATCAGGACAGCTCGGTCCGGGGAAACTCAGCGCTTCTTCATTGAGTATATACCTAAGTTTACAAATTCATAACTCACTATACAAATATCAAACTGAACTCCAATTATTTTGTATGAAACGAGTTAGCGAATACTACTTTCTATAAAACATTATGGTCATACACGTGTATGTGTATGTATAGATGAATTATAGTGTTTTTTAAAATAAGTCACATTGTCAGCCTTTTTCTAACAACAAAATGACTTTGAACCTCAAAAATCATTAATGGATTGATGGATTTTGAACATGGTTTATTTTCAATGTTTTGACATTGTGAATACAGTTTTTTCCAGTACTGTTATATTTTGAAAACTCTTTTTAGCTCACAGTATAGTCATTTGACTAAATATATAAAACCAGCTCGTGTAATTTACATGAGATGCTTAAAAGCCATTTCGTAGTAAGTAAATAGTTGAAAAAATGTTTTCTGAATTTAAATGCTTTGGATAATGATTTAAAGGAATCTTTTTAAGTAAAGTGCAAAGTTGGAAAAGTTTGTAAACCTATTTCTTATGGAGATTGTTAAGGAGTTCTACATCCTTTGCATCTATCACCGCATCCCGAGGACATTCATTCCTCAACATGATAGCACCCTCCTGATTCTTATCCAAGAACACCTTAAAATCACAGAGCTGCTGCTTCGAAACCACCTGCACACCAACCTTCTCCATCAATTTCCACCGCTTTAGATCTGAAATTTTGTTCTCTTCAGGGAGTGAGCTGGTGAAGTTTCCTACAGATCTGCTGCCACAACCTTCAAGCTTCAGAAACTGTAAGTTTGAGCCCTCTAGATTGCTCAGAACAGAAAACGAATTATGGGTTCGCGCCTCTGCAACATCTAAGGTCAAATCTACAGCCCCCACTACAGCCTGATGTCAAAGCTCCGCCTGTCCAAGCTCCAGCCTCGCGAGCCGCTGACAGCTCACTTCTGTTAGTGCCGCTGCAGTTGGCTCCTTGCTCTCAGTCGGCTGCAGCTCCTGCGTCAACTGGTCTGCACCAACCTCCAGCCCAACTAACCCTTCATGCTGAAGCGTCGGCTGCTCCTCAAAATACTGCCAGCTAGGTGAGCAGTCTTTGCTATCTTTAATTTTCTAAATGATACTTCAATACAATAATTATTAGAAATAAAGCATGTTTCAAGGTTATTCTTGGGAGCAGTCCTTATTATTGAAGATTCACTAAATATTTTCAAAGTTTATGAGGAAAAAGAAGAGTTATGTTGCACATGTATGTTTTCTCAAATATATATTTTAAGATGCAAAATTGGATATGTGGATTATTTTTGCTATTGTTTACATGATGTGAAAATTAAAGTAAGTGGTTGTATTAATGTTTAATCTTCAAAGCATTTATCATTCATCCATAAGTATTGGTGGGTTTGTTGTGCTTCCAACTTGGAATCTTCATAATTGCCATCGTCATTTGAAGTACCTGAGATGAACACTCTTCTAAATCCGAGTGAGTTTGTTGAGGCCAAGTGTTGAACTTGATTTTGACATTTACATAAGTTTTGCTGATTTACAAACAAAATGATGATATGGACTAATATTTTTATAGAGCAAATCATGAAAAATGTCACTAAACTATATACTAGTGCTTGTTCAGGTAACTAAAGTAATTTGTTAGCTAAAAATGTCATAGAACTAACCAAAGTGCATGTTTTGTAGCATTCCGTGTATATTTCACTGTTAAGACAAATGGAAATTACACGAACTGGATGTCATGTGATTTGCAAGCGTAGGGTTTGAAGGGCAAAATTGTCTAAAAACTTTAAGCAAGCTAAAGAACCCACAATTGTTGGCTATTCAATTCAGATGTGGAATTTTGTCACTAGACTTTCAATTGAAAGGACAAAATTTAAGGATCCTCCGAAACTTGAAATCGACAAGATTAGAGTAGATAATTCAATGTTTGAAGAAGAAAATTTGGTAGAAAAGGTTCATCAGTCACATAAGCCGCTCGTTGATTAATCACGATGAAGTGGATAAAGCAAAAGATAGATGAATACCTGGATCTGTATGAACTATATGGTGAGAAATCGCTAAAAACCATGTGTTCCTCTTGATTTGGTTATTAATGCATGAATGTTGAACTATGTAGGTATTGTGTTTAGTGGGTTTAAGGGTTTTATGTTTTGCATTGGTCGGGAAGAAAGCGACATGAGAGCACTGGTGGGGTAGAAAAGGACATTTCTTTATGGGATTCCTTTTGTTGTCATCGCAATAGGTTGCAAAGGGTCCTAGAAGAACAAATTTTTTCTGATAATTTATTGAAATTTATTGTAAATTGTGTTTTGTATGTCGGATTGCTACTAATTTTGTATTCATTTTTAATTGTATGCACAATAAAAAATGCTGATTAAATTTATTTCTTTATTGAGTTTTGTGTTGGTGTAGAAAATAGAAGAGGTGCATTTTCAATTAAACTTCACCATGAGGGTAAAATTAAGGGAGACAAGTACAAGAGTTATGATGGGAGAGAGATTGACTACTTTGACATGTGCAATGCAGATTTTATGTCGCTACAACTAATAAACAGAATGGTTGAGAAATATGGGCACCGGGGGACCATGTTGTATTATTACATTGACCCTAGAAGTGACTTGAACCATGGACTGAAGGAACTCCAAATGGATGAAGATATGCAAGGATTCTATGATTTTGTGTATGAGTATAAGTTAATGAAAATTTACTACGATCATTTGATATTAGAAGAAATATATGAGCTTGATAGGCAAAAGAAAGAGCCGATGGAGGAACTATTGAGGAAGTCTATGGATGTCATAGAGGAGATTGAAGATGTTGCTAATATAGCTCCAAAAAAACTAGTGAGACCTTGTGCTAGGAAAAAAACTGTTGCTGCTCTGGAGTGGAAGCATGACTGTCCAATTCGAGAGTTTGGTAATAGTACTACAATTGTGGAACCGATTATAGAAGTGAACAGGACAAATGAGGCAAGAAATGGGAGCGATGAAGCAGCCATTCACAACAAAATGCATAATAGCTATGATTCGAGTTTTGATCATAGAGGAGATTTTGATGATTGCAATGAATATTGCCAAGATGAACAAATGTAACAACAAGAGTGTGAGTAGCACATGGAGACCCAAGACTCTTTTGTTGGGTCCCAAAAAGAGGGCCAATCAGGACGGTCACCTCCAATAGAGTCCCTTTAACATGATAAACCAACTATAAAAAGTCATCATGAAGACTCTACCTTCAGACATGAGCCACCAACCAAGGGCCAAAGGCAAGGGAGAATAAGGCAACAACCAGAAATTTCATTAAAAAAAGGAGTGATGAAGCGCAACAGATCCAAGCCACAGGTACAGAACATGAAGGTGGAGCAGATGGACCCAAGCACAATCCACTAATAGATGACACCTTGGATGTGGAGCTCCTTAGTGATCTTGATGTAAGTGAAGATGAGGATGCTCCAATGAGGTATACCAGCTTCAATATTGCCAGAGATAGTTGATCTCCACAGTTTCATGTTGGCCAGAAATTTGGTACCAAAAAGCAGTTTAGAATTGCCATAGAAAATTATTCAATCTTGACTGGTAGACCAATCTACATCTATACAAGTGACAAGACAAGATTGAGAGCTAAGTGTAGGCATCCTAATTGCAAGTGGTACATGTATGTTTCCCAGGTTCCAGTATCGGGTACATCTGATTTTGTACTTAAGAGGATGCTTGAAGGAACAAGATATGTCTTCAGAGTGGGTAGTAGAAAAATTTGAAGAGTTAGTCTATACAAACATGAAAATGCCAGTTGGACAGTTGTTGCAAAATGTTGATCAACAGTTCAATTGTGAAATCACCAGAAACAAAGGGTGCAAAGCATTGGCCGTAGCGAAAGCAACATTAGAGGTTTAGCAGTTGAGAAATATTCTCTCATTGGAAAATATGCAGCAAAATTACACAAAACACATCCTAACACCGCCATCGACATTAGGTATTCCCCGAGACCTGATCCCCAAAGCAATCTTAAGTTCATGTGGTTGTATTGTTGTTTGGGAGCACTAAAAAAATGGTTTCAAAGAAGGATGTAGGCCTCTTATTGCCTTGGATAGGTGCCATACTAGGCGACCATA